TTTACACATTTTCTGTATTTTTTTATTTTGAGCATACTGGATCACTCACCATTAAAACCATTAAAAGGGGCATCTCTGCTTAATTAATCCTGCAATTGGCAGCTTTAGTGAACCCTCATTTGCCCTCCATCACATGTCCCATGCTTCCTTTACATGAACGCTTCAAAACCTAAAATCTGTTATCATTGTGAAGAGTGTGATTGAGGGGAAGCGAGAGAACAGTGCAAGACACACAGAGAAGCGAGAGAGCGAGGAGGTTAGGATGTGTATGGGAGGCAGAGAAAATAAAAGGGCAAGGCTACAAATTGGCCCAGATGTTGGTGTTGCTTCAGTGTCTGGCCTGCTCTCGGGTCTCAGGGGAGGGCAGTCAACGTGTGGGCCAGAAACTCCACAAACACAGCCATCTGCAACATCTGGAGCAACTGAACTCGTGTGGAGGACGGGAGATATAACACGAACCTCATGGACCATGAGAATAGCTGCTAATGTGTGTGCTGCTGCTGAGATTTGCGCTACGTGCTAGTTTGTTTTTGCCGTCACGCATAAATGTGTGCATGCATGAGGCCATCTGGGTTGAAGTCTCATCCATTAGTCAAGAATTTTACGAAACAAATATTTAATTATATAAGCAGTTGTGCAAAACCGCACTGTCAGCTGATTTCCTGCACAACTGAGTTGGTCTTGTAAATATATTTTACCTCAAATAGCCTGAAATTGTGATTTCATGCTTCTAAATCCTCAGAGAGAGACAAAAGAAACAATTTATGGTTATAAATCTTTTTTTTTTTTTTTAGCGAGTGATTCAGCTTAGCCATAGTGTTGGCTAGTTATATTTACCATTTCCTCAGGGACCAAGTTTCTCTCATAGGCCTTGCTTTAAAACATCTTGTTTAAATCAATGCTAAATAGAGCAGAGCGGTTTTATATGTTTCTAGATGTAGGAAAACATGAATTTCAACACTTGCATGAAATTAAACTCTGTGCCATCTTTTGGCATTCCACCCATGCCAAAAGCCTTTTATCTCAAGTCTAATGCATCAAATACACACAATGCTTGGATTGTCAAAAGTTTGGAATAATTAAGATTTTGAACTTAATGTTCTTGAAAGAAGCATTTTATGCTCATCAAGGCTGATTTATTGAAATGAGAAATATCATGTGACAATGAAGACTGGATTAATGGCTGCTGAAAATGTAGCTTTGTCATTATAGGAATAAATTACATTTTAAAATGTATTAAAATGTTATTTATTGTAATATTTGACAATATTACGTTTTTCACTGTATTTTTTATCAAATGCAGTCTTCATGAGCATAACATTCAATTTAAATTAATTATAAAATATTATATTTTATATACATTTTATAAGATTTATTTCTATTTTAAAATAACACATTCTAAATAATAATAATTTTTTTTAAATCTAATTTTTCACAGAACACTCTACTGGACTGATTGGAACCGAGAAGCTCCTAAAATCGAGAGGTCCTCTGTGGACGGACAAAACCGAAGAGTCCTGGTACAGGATGGGATTGGACTGCCCAATGCTTTGACCTACGACTCCACCACAGGCCAGGTCTGCTGGGCCGATGCAGGTCTGTGCTTCACTCAAAACCCAGACTATGAACTGCCAGTTTTTTTGGGGGCCCCGTTTACAATGTAGGCTAGTTTTTGGCTTAGACATAGTATGTTTGGTGCACTTTACAGCTTATTCTGACGCTGTGTATCTGAATCAGACAATACCAAATTAACAGACCGGCACTCAAAAAAGCTCATTAATAACCTCTTTTTTTTTGTTTTTTTGTTGGACAGGAACCAAGCGCCTGGAGTGTATATCACCTAATGGGACAGGGAGACGTGTGGTCCACAGTAACCTGAACTACCCCTTCAGCATGGTCGCCTTCACCAATCACTACTATTACACAGACTGGAGGAGGTAAAGCAGCAGAGCACATGCATGTACAAAACCATATGACCACCAGAATCATAACTACCTACCAGATACTGTTGTGTTAATGAAAGTTCCTGGATTACACTTCAATTTTTGTGTCACACTCGACCTTGTGCTCCATTCACATCCATTTATACACAGTACAAAGAATACAAAATCAGTGACATGATTTGCAGAAAAGTGGAGTAGAAAATGTATATTTATACATTAATAGTTTATCATGTGTTATTTAAAATGTTTTAAAAACAGAGCCCTAGGAGATTTTTTATATTTGTTGTAAGGTCCAATTAAGCTTAAATATGACCAGTGTTGGGATTAGTAACGCATTACAAGTAACGTGAGTTACGTAATCCGATTACTTTTTTCAAGTAACTAGTAAAGTAACGCATTACTTTTTTAATTTACAAGAAAATATCTGAGTTACTTTTTCAAAAAAGTAAATGCCAGTTACTTTGTTTTCCCATTTATTGACTGACAAGTCTCCTGTCCCCATATTGGGAGAAATCGGGAAGTGCAGAGGAGTTGTGTGCGCTGTGTGAACACATGATGCTACTGTAGTTCTAGACTAAATGTGAATGTGCATTAATTCATCCCACTCACAAAAAACAGATTTAGTATTCATCAAAATGAATTAAAACAGTGAAATGCAAACTCAGAATATGACGCAAACCTGCAATAATTAAATGTTAAATAACACGAATGTATCTAATCCCATTTTATTAACTGATGCCTTTGCTGCTGACCTTTGATGATCCAATTCAACCATACTAATAAGCAAAAATGACTTTAGATAAACTAACAATTGTGCTTCATTGATTTTTAATTGCTGAAGAGTGTTTCTTCTCCTGCGTTCTACTGTACAGACGTGAATTTACTTTTCCTTGAGCCTGAGGTTTATTCATTACACTTTACTGTTTTTTTAGGGAGTACTTAACTTTACTGTTTTTACACTTTAGTTACTTTTTTAGGGAGTAACGCAACATTGTAATGCATTACTTTTAAAAGTAACTTTCCCCAACACTGAATATGACTGTGCCTTTATCAGTTGAATTGCTATAAAAGAATACTTATTTTATATTTTCTTCTGTGGTGTTTCAGGGATGGGGTCATCGCTCTCAATCGAGATAACCAGTCAACAGATGAGCACTTGCCTGATCAGAGGACTCATTTGTATGGCATTACAGTTGCTCCTCCACACTGTTTATAAGGTACTTTGGCAAAGTATAACTCTTTTTAATCTTAACAGCCAGTGCTCCACGCAGAGATCTGAGCTCATCATCATCCAGTCTGTCTGGAATGACATGAAGAAACAGAACAAACTGAGACAGACTCAATCCAGAAGAACTGTGGCAACATCTCCCAGATTAAATTTCTTCCAAAAACATTTTAAAAATCTTACCAACCCAAAACTTTTGAATGGTATATTTAAGTACTCAATATTTGCTCCCAATGGACTCCTGCTAGTGTAGTTTAGTAAACTTTATGACTTCAAAAATTGCATGAAACAGGTCTGAAACAGAGTGTCTGTATTTGTACGATACACCTGAAAGCACATCACGTTTACCATGTAGCAAAACGTGGGTGACCTCTTTTCAAGCAAATAACAGAATGACATATTTCAGACATGAGCTGTCAGCTACAGGCACTAAAGAGAAAAGTACAAGGCACCTACTGCCAAATCACTGTAGTTTTAAGTTTTCATCGGAGGCGATGAAACGCTGGTCACACCAGTACTTCAAAGCATGTCAGTTCTTTACGGACCAGAAAACAGTCAAACAAGATCAGAGTAAGTGTTTGTAAGTCTGGACTAGCATATAAAAGAAGGCAATTTCCTCGGTAGAAAATTAAATGTTGTCGTGATTGCCCAAACGTGGCTTTCTAAGGATTTCCAACAAATTGTGTTATAGGGAGACGCTAATGACAGAGCCAGCGTTAAATGGTGCTATTTTGGGCGAGTGTTTGGAGAGCTTGTGCTGTGGGAATCGCGACGGAGACGTGGACTCAGAAGAGAGCCAATCGCAGAACCCGCAAGTCTCGACCAACGTCACCCGTCAATGCCAATGTGCAAATTTACAAACATGAAAGCGTGAATATTTTCTCAAAATAGTTTTGTAAATTTGTTTTATACCTCATTTTTTCTTTCTACTGTACCTTTGTATGTGACTTTTTGTTAAAAAAAAACTAACAAATTAAAAAAAAAAAATACCCTCAGAGTTTAGTTGTGTAATTTGTATGTTTTTAAATACTCTAAAACAGTATTTTGGGGGAAAAAAGGGCAACATTTTTAAGCGAAATTGCTTGGAACACCAAAAGTGGTCTTTTACCAACCGTAATTTTTAATCCTTTTTTATCTTTTGTAAGATGTGATATTTATACCAATAAAATGTGATTGACAACTTTAATATGTCTGCTCGCATTATGTTTCAGATTTTCAAATATTTTTGGCTCTGCGGTGATTGTTTTCCTAAATTTACAGTACGCACAGTTGGATGTATAAAGCAGAACAGGTTGAATTTCTTGCTCGAGAGTAAAACAAACCCAGCCATAAAACTTTTCTGCGTTGCATTAAGGTTTATTAAGCAACAAAAACATATAATCCAACTTTTTATGGTAACCCATGCAACTTTTCATAAGTGCCTCCACATAAGGCTACAATGAAATTACATTTTGTAATAAATCTTCGCATTTTTTTTTATTACAGGGCAAAGCAAAATCAATGATAAAGAAAAAAAACAGTCCAGTTTGGCATTCCCACAAAAATGTCTCAAATATAAACAAAATACCTGTGGTGTGGCTAATGAAAACAAGCATACTTCACAGAGCACGTCTTGTGGTCTCTGCAGCGAGGTCCAGGCATGATGTTTTTATCTGCCCACCTTTCCGAGGCGGTGATCTGTCTTGGGGTCGGCGATGATGGCCTGAACTGCTACGATGGCCTCGTTGATCTTGGTTTGTAACTCTCTGAGCTCCTCGATGTGAAGCAAGCGAAGAACCCTGGCTGCTTCGTTTAGAGTTGCGTCTGGAATAGGCAAACAAATTCTTTGTGCTTACAATCCTTAGAAAGTAAACAACATGAACTTGAATGCAGAATGGGAACATGATGATGCACTTATTGTGTCCTAAAGAAACAATAGGCAAATGTGGAAAACTCCAAAACAGTTTGCAAATGCAAACCTACCTCCGGTGTCAAATCCTAAAATATGCTTGTCAAGAGCGACTGGTAAACCCTATGAAAGAACAAATACGTTTTATATATAATTGAGTTAATAACTGATCACCAAATCAGCATATCTGAAAGGTTTCTGAAAGATCATGCGACACTGAAGACTGGGGTGATGACTGCTGAAAACTCAACTTTGCCATCACAGAAATAATTACATTTTAAAATAAATTAAATTACAAAACATTTATTTGAATTTGTAATAATATTTCACAATATTACTGTTTTTTATTTGTTAAATACCTTACCTCTTTTGCTTGACTGGCCTTTGCAATAGCATCAGGGGTCAGACGTTCCTGTATCAGGATTCTAATGGCCTGTGATGACAAAAAAAAAAAATCTTTAGTTTAAATGCACTGGATTTAGATTTATTTCTCATTCTATTGGCGCATTGAACCATACTTACTTTAAGCATTACCAAATAGTCATCATGTCGCTGGATTTTGAGTAGATTAGCAAGCCCCAAGACACCAGCCTTAAAATCTGGATTGTTACCTAAAGAGAGAACTCACTTCATTTCAGTCCAACACATAATTTTAAACATTTTTTCCAATGCAAAACTGTTGCTGAACCAACCAATTAACTGGTTTAATTGCTGATGACAAAAAGAAAACCTATGAAAGCCTGTTTCCACAATGGAATTTTAAAAAGGCGTAAAAAAGAATTAAAGACCCTTTTCATTTGAAATTTTAAGTTTATATATCAAATTTTGGGTTTTTTCCTTACAATTCTGAGAAAACTGCAATTCGTGGGCAGAGATATAAACTCACAGCTGCAAGAAAAAAGTCAGAATTGTGAGATAAAGTTGCAAATATCGTATTTAATTTTTATTCCGTGGTGGAAAAAAATGAATTGTAAGATGCAAACTCAGAATCTGAAAAAAAAAAAAGAATTGTGAGATATAAACTCAGAATTATTAGATGTAAACTGGGAATATCTCGCAATTTTGACTTTTTTTATTTTTAGAATTGCAAGTACTGAAAGTCTGAATTGTGAAATTAATAGTCGCTATTACTTATTGAATTTTTTTAATTCGTGCCGTAAATGTGATTCCATAGAAACCAACTACTTAGACCAAGACTGTATTAAAGAAAAAACAACAACAACAGCCGAGCCCAATATTTTCTGTTTAGTGAACCCTGTCCTCCCTTTCAGTTGACATCTGGAGCGTTCTTCCAGCTGTGGGTCACTGGCTCGGTTCAGCCTACTCATTGTGGGTTGTTGAGAGAGGTGGGTGTGTAATCAGTCCGTTCAGACATGCTTGGAAAGCCACTTTAGTGCTCAAGCTGGTTTCTTTAATCAGCCTCCTCCATCTCATAACAACAGGACTGGAGACTGGAAAGATGGTCGGAGGAGGGAATACTCACTGTCCAGATTAATTAATGGGTCTGCAGACTTTTGAACATCACTGGCCTCTGTTACAGGTTTGCAGTTTCGATATTTCTCCACTGTGGGAGGAAAAATAGCATAAGCGGTCAGTGCAATGCAAAGAAGGGGTCTCAAGTTGTCAAAATTATTTGGTAGGAAATCTAGGAACATCCTGCACTACGCATTTCTGAGGATAAATGGAATCAAGATTGTGCAATCAAACGTGTGGGACAGCTGCAAGAGTTACATGATGCTGCAAACTTTGCAAACACTGCCATCTAGTGATATGGGATTGAACATAATTGCTAGATCGCTTTCAAAGAAAGGACAGAACAGGCATGTTATAATTAGTGATTGATCAATGCATCAACCAGGTTAATAAGGTGCCCAATAACTGGCCATTTTGTGTTCACTTGGCCAAGCAACAGAAGTGAATTTTTTTTAAGAGCAAATAGTGTGTAAGTGTTCATCTAATTTTCTTATTGTTATACTACCGTTCAAAAGTTTAGGGTTAATAAGAATTTTTGAAATAAGTTCTTATGTTCACCCAAGACTCTAAAAACAGTTAGTTAGTCAGTTAGTGAATTAATGAATGTTTTTCTAGTTGAATATATTTTACAATGTATTTTATTCCTGTGATGAAAAAGTGTAATTTTCATTGAATGCCATTCTGATTTGGTGAACGAGAAACATTTCTTATTATCATCAACGATAAAAACAGCGGTTTAGAATTTTTCAGGAGTTTTGATGAATAGAGAGTTCAAAAGATCAGTCTTTATTGGATACAGAAATCTTCTGTAACATTATAAACGTCATTACTGCCACTTTTGAGCTAATGTATAGTGCATAAGTGCCGGCTGGCTCTCTAAATGTTGTATCAGCTATTAAAAGAACTATAGTAGAGTATAACCACTGGTTAGACTCTGAAATAAATAATAATCATACCATTGTCTCCATACTCAAAACGAACAGCAAGACCCAGCAGCCAGTCAACAGTCTCTTGTCTTTCATGAGCGCTGAATGGACAGTTCACATCTTGAAGGTACTGCAAACATACATGTATTTATATATTATGACAAAAGACATGATAAACTTGAGGGTATTCATTTCTTTAGGCATACAAATAGACATGAGACATCTGAAGATAAATCTGTCTCACCTTTTCAAAATATTTAGGCCAGTCTGAGCTGGGAATATTCCTGAGATTTCCTCGGTCTTCAATTTTGTAGTGTCTGATTTTTTGATCTTCCAGCCAAACTATGAAATTTCTGAATTCAGTTTCATCTGGGTAAAGTAAAGAGCACATACGATATGAATCATATATTTGACGTGGATTAAGCCCTAATTTCCATCATCACTTGATAGCAGTACAGCACTAAAGCATTATAACAGACTAAATGACCGATGATACAGGGTGACTATTTCAGACAGTCAATCCAAACCTAAGTTAGTAAGATGCTTACTTATTATTATCGTGAATGCACGTTATCAATATTGGGAGCATGAGGTGGCAACACGTCAGACACATTCCTACCTTTACAGTCAAATCCAGTTGGGTTGTGATATTCTAAAGCTGTAAGCTTTCTACGAAACATCCCTTTCAACTGCAAAACCTATTTAAAGAAGCTAACAGATGAATGATTTTGCTTGGAAAGCCACAGCCTGCTACAGCCTTCAAATGGCAGGGGGATACCGGAAGTATAATAATCTTCTTCTTCTTCGGATTTTTTTTGGCGTATTCCGCACCATAGGCACATACCGCCACCAACTGTTTCTAATCATACATGGATGATAGTCCCGCCTCTGTTCATATTTTATTTATTTTTATTTTTTTTAATTGTTAATTTTATTTCGGGCTCACCCAAGCTGTATTTCTGGCTGCTGCGTGTTCAGCTCCCATGCCAAAAAACCCAGCTTGTGTGTTAACCCTATTCCTTTGCTTTATTTATTTAACTATCAAATTCGTTTATTTAATCCTGTTTCTACTATATATCATGTTCAACGGTTTCTATTACTCCACAAAAAGCACATTTACCTGTAATATGTTTACCTATTTTGTGTAGTGATACATGTAGTCCTGTGTGCCCAAATTGTAATTTATTAAAAATCACCTCATCTTTCCTACATCTTCCAAAATGGTATACTTCTTTAACTGATGAATTAATTTTATAATAAAACCTTCCTGTATCAGCTATGTCCCACTTCTTCTGCCACTCTTTTTTAATATTTTATTTTATCATTGATTTAATTTCTCCTCTTCCTAATGGGACTTCAATCTCGATATCCTTTTTTTTTGGTTGCCTTTTTTGCTAACTTATCTGCTATTTCATTTCCATTGATTCCTGTGTGAGCCGGAACCCAACAAAATTTGACATCTATTCTCATACTATTTAGAGATTTTAATGTCATACATATATCATTTAAAATGTCTTCTCTAATGGATTTATATGAAACCAAACTATTTAGCGCTGACATAGAGTCTGAACATATAATTACTCTATCTGGTCTAACATCTTCTATCCACTGTAATGCAACCATTATTGCAACTAATTCTACTGTATATATTGCTAAATTATTTGATAATCTTTTGAATATGCTTATTTCGAATTCTGGAATAAATATTCCTATACATGTCACCCCAGATTCTGGTAAAGTATAATAATCTTTTTATACTTTGATTGTGTTACACCAGTCTGTCTGAAATCCTGTGCTGACCAGCTGGCCCCCATCTTCACACAGATCTTCAACAGATCACAACTAAAGTAAGATAAGTTCCTTATCTATTTTTTTTTTATTTTTTATTATCTGTTTTTTTGTTCTGTCACTGTCATTCTGTTACACTGTGGAAGCTTCTGTCACGAAAACAAATTCCTCGTATGTGTAAACATACCTGGCAATAAAGCTCATTCTGATTCTGATTCTGATTTTGATTCTGATCTATGTTCGGTTTTCAAAATAAAGGTCCGTATTTGTGACTGATTTAGATCACCATTTTAGGGCTTTGATATTTGATAAAGATTTAATATTGAATCGCTTATCATCTTCTTCTTTTTTTATTCTTCCTCTTTCTCTTATTATTATTATTATTATTATTATTATTTAATATGAGAACACATTTCTCCTAAAAATGAAATTTTGATATCAGTAAAATAGACTTGAACTGAGATTCATAGACTTAACAAGCGTGGTTCTATTCTGCTGTTTCCTCGCATATACATTTTTTTTTCCATAAATGGATGGAAAACGGCATTATATTTGCTCTTATATTGAATGAGAAATTTTTGTTCTTGTATTGAATGAGAATGTGTACCTGCATACATAGATTGTCTATCAGGGGTGTCCAAACTCAGTCCTGGAGGGCCGATGTCCTGTAGAGTTTAGCTCCAACTTGCCTCAACACACCTGCCTGGAAGTTTCTAGTATGCCTAGTAAGAGCTTGATTAGCTGGTTCAGGTGTGTTTGATTAGGGTTGGAGCTAAACTCTGCAGGACACCGGCCCTCCAGGACCGAGTTTGGGCACCCCTGGTCTAAATGAACAGTTTCACACCGTTCAGCCTGGTATTATGGATATACTTTTATGCACTGGAAAATTATATTAATATTTTTATATTATGTTGAGATCTTGGTTTGAAAAACAGGAAAACACTCGGTATTTAAATACACATTTAAACTGTTTATTTCTTATATTTGTATACACCTTTTCCCCAGTTTATCTTCCACATTGCCTTTCCTTTTTCCCAGTGGTCACGAACGTTAAATAACTGTTTATTCTCCTGATGTAAATTGTTGCTTTATATTGCTTAATGCGTGGCAGCTTTATAATAAAACACTGTATACAAAAATACATTTATTATAATTTATAATTATATAATTTATTATTTATAATATTATAAATTGAATTGTTATAAATATTTGCTATTTAAATAATAATTGCACTTGAATAATTCCCCATTGTGTTTTGTATTTTGAACAGTTGATGTGCTTATGGCCCTGCATTCTCCCTCCTGGACACCTGGGTGCAGCAGAACATCTCGAGCTTGTCGGGAAGCAGCAGGAGCTCGATTCGCCTTGTTGCTTTTGGCGAAAGGCTTTGTACGTACGATACAACAGTGAAGATCGAAAGACGTTTAAAACATCAAGAGAGCGCATAAAACCCCCCGTTTGACAGCTGATATTTATCTCTTCGTAAGTATATATTTACAACTCTCTTTCAATGTAAAGCATAATTTCCTCTCTGTTCCCTCTCATATGTAGCCTGCTAGCACGCTCGCGAATGCATAACGCGGGTCTGTGAGTACGATGCTGATGATCAGTAGTTTCGTCCTCAAATCTTATGATAAAACTATTATTACGCGCCCATGAGCGCACGAGATCGCTTTTTTTTTTATAAAGATACTGGGTTGCATTATTAACTTGGCGGAATAATGCAATACATGCAGGGAGTCTGCAGCAGGCATCTCTCAATGCAGATTCACGCAGGGGAGTCAGTAAATAGCACAACGCGTGCACGTGTGGGTTGGTTTTCATGGCAATGTTGGTGACACTAATATTGAAATAAATGGGCATATATACCGATTAGGTTCATTTTAGTTTATTTTGAGCTGTGTATGTGTTCTAGCCAGGTGTGCCTCACGCGGCCTGAAAAGTGAAGCTGCAGCAGGGTTGCCAGGTTTTCACAGCAAAACCCACCCAATTGCTACTCAAAACTAGCCCAATCGCGTTCCGGGGGGGGGTGTAAAATACACGTTTTTGGTGGGGTTTTTCTGTTAAAATTCGCATTCCAGGGGCTAAATATCATGTCATTGGGGTCGCTTCAACCAGCGGCAACAGTATTAAAGGTCACATATTTTACACCTTTCTGGAGTTTTATTTTAGGTTTTGATGTCCTTAAGAATATATATTTGTGGTATAAGTACCAAAAAGCATCTCAATATATTTTTACAGCTCCTCTCTCAGGAGCTCTGCTGAGAACAGGTCGATTTTGGCCTGTCTAATTAATATTCATGAGCATCTCTTCTGATTGGCCTGTTGTTTTCTGAGTGACGCACGGCCAGGCCAACCACAGGTAACTAGGGTAAGCCGACGACGTCACAGCGCTAGCTGGAGGCAGCCCATTCAAACCAGCACAGATTTGGCTACATAAGGAGCTTAAAATATCATCTTGTTTTGATGTTTGGTGCCAGAATCGACGTAATACAGCCTCAAATTAGACATTTGATCGGCCCAATTCCGCGGAAAAACAGCGGACTTGGCAACACTGAGCTGCGGGCTCTTTGATCGCCCCCTTGAGGCTGGCTGCAGTACAGGTCATAAACCCCGCCCTCTCTGTGTAAACGAAAGGGACTTGAGTCAAAATAGACGCGACAGCACACACGAACATGAGTGCTGTGCCTGCCTGTGATGAGGAGATTGTGAGTAAAGATTGACTATTAGTCGAATTTAAAAGAAACATTTGCATTTGAATGCAAAAATAGTACAATCCAACGATTTCGATTTTAATCACGATTTTGACATGCACAGACATGCTTTACAGTCATAAACGCATTCAGTGTGAATTTGAAACATATTTCCAAAAGAAAACCAATTAGAGCTTTATTAAGAAGCTATAACATGTCTCTAGAACAGACATAAGGCAAAATAATCACTAAGTAAAGGTGTAACAAAATGTCTCTAGAATAGACATATGGCAGAAAAAAAAATCCCGTGTACAGGGATTTTTTTTGCCATGCATTGGTCATAGAGCTCTTTGTGGCGTTGCCTCAGATGTTGAACTAGATTTGTTGAGCCAAGTTCATACGTACTCCGTCTGCAGTGCGTATACAGTAGCCTATGTGTAAGCGGTGCAGAAGCAGCATGGACTCATTTTGCTTTCGCACAGGACGCATTTGCAGTCCGCTCCTGATCCGCTAGCTGTTTACCACAAACACAACATTTATCCATTATTTTGATTTCAAATCCAAACGTGGTTTCTGAAAATGCTTTTTCAGCATTGTGATTCTCTTTTATCACAGATCAGTAATACAATCTTTCATAGACATATTCACGTTTAAACTCAATAAATATAACTTTGTTTAACTACCACCACGAGTGCCATCTATTATTGCATTATCTAAAAGTGCACTTTTCCTTGTTTTAATCTAACCAAAAAGCCATGTGTTGACTGTGAAACAGTAGACTTTAATTATATGTATTTATGGTGTAATACTAAATTTCCGTGTCAATCCATGTTAATTTTTACCACGAATAATGCGCTGTCACTTTAATTCAGCGCATGCAGCACAGCAGAAATAGACTCCGTGTGGAAACGATCGTAGCATGACTGCTGCAGACGCACCGCTCCTGGAGCGCTCTACCGGACCGCAGAGATTTTGGAAATTTGGAAAATAAAACCTCAGTTGAACCAGTTGAACAACAACACATGACATATCGCACTGTGTCATTATTTATTTAACAAAAGTAAATCCAAAATGGAAAGGCCATGTGTGACAAAGTTAGGACACCCTTACTGTTAACGTAAGAATTAAGAGGGTAAGTAGCAGTCAATACCTTTGATTAACTGATCATCAGCAAGTGTGAGCACCTCTATAAAAGCAGATGTTTTGGCAGTTTGCTGGTCTGGAGCCTTCAGGTGTGTGTTAACACAATGCCAAGAAGGAAAGACATCAGCAATGATCTTAGAGAAGCAATTGTTGCTGCCATCAATCTGGGAAGAGTAATACAGCCATTTGCAAACAATTTCAAGTCCATCTTTCTACATTGAGGAAGTTTTTTCACAAGTGAAAGACATTCAAAACAGACACCAATCCTCCCAGGAGTGGACATCCCAGCAAATTCACCCCAAGATCAGACCATGTAACGCTCAGAAGAATGGCAGACAACCCAAGAACTTCACTGCAGACTCGACAGGCCTCAGTTAACATGTTAAATGATCAAGTTCATGACAGTACAGTTAGAAAAATATGGGACAAGTATGGAAGGCTTGCTAGAGAAAAGCCTCTTCTATCTAAAAAAGCATGGCAACACGGTTTTGGTTTGCAAAGTTGCATCTGAATAAACCATAAGACTTCTAGAACAGTGTCCTTTGAACAGATGAGACCAAAGTGGAGATGTTTGGCCATAATGCACAGCAGCACGTTTGGTGAAAACCTAACAAGCATATCAGCACAAAAACCTCATACCAAAAGTCACACATGCTGGTGGAGGGCTGATGATTTGGGGCTTGTTTTGTAGCCACAGGACCAGGGCACCTCAGTCATTGAGTCGACCACGAACTCCTCTGTATACCAAAGTATTCTAGAGTCAAATGTGAGGACATCCGTCCGACAGCTAAAGTTGGGCCAGTATTGGATCATGCAACAGGACAATGATCCCAAGCACACCAGCAAATCAACAAAAGAACGGCTGAAAAGAACAGAATCAAGGTGTTTCAATAGTCCAGTCAAAGTCCAGACCTCATCCTGACTGAAATGCTGTGTCGAGAGCTGTGCATAAACTCGCATATATACTGGAGCAATGTTGTAAAGAAGAGTGGGCTAAAATTCCTCCAGAACGATGTGAGAGACCGATAAAGTCATACAGAAAATTATTACTTCAAGTTATTACTGCTATAAGTGGATCTACAAGCAATTGAATCATAGGGTGTCCGAACTGTTGTTCATCTGAGGTTTTATTTTCCAAATTTTATGACCTGCCAAGGACCAGATCGTTTTTTATTATGTACTGATACAGAAAACCATGGAACCAATTCAATAGGGTGTCCTAGCTTTTTCACATGACTGTATGTCAAATTATCTGTTATCAGGCTCCTCTTTTTACACTGGTTTGATAAAGTATGTGGAAAATTTGTAGCGATATTAAAAAGCAAAAGCAAATGCTGTATCATTTATATACCTTGCCTGACTGACTGTATTTAACTACTAAACTGTCAATATTATTGACATATAATGTGTCCATCATATAATGATGTTTCCATCGTACTTGATAAAATATTTATTAAAAAAGTCACGATGAAATGGTAGCCTAGTAGCGACAGATCTTTTCTTTCATATTGTGACATACTTCCAAGTGTAATAGATTATTGAAAAATAAAAGAATTTGTCCGGCCCACTTTTTGAGAGTCCTTGGTTTCGGAAGTGTTTTTTCTTGTAGGCATTTTTAAAAGTCTTCGTTAAAGAGTAATAAGCCATGAACCAAACTAACTAGGTGAATCACAACATTACAAACTTTGGTTTGAAGCAAAAAAGTATTTGAAAATCAGACAAAAAGCCAAAGATATAAGACTCTGTACTTAACGGTTTTAGTGAGGGAAAGAACTGCAATCCCATGAAGGATTGCAAATTATCAGATTAAAAGCAGTGTAGAAATATGTATAATTTATATAGATACACTGAACAAAATTATAAACACAACACTTTTGTTTTTGCCCCGATTTGTCATGAGCTGAACTCAAAGATCTAAGACTTTTTCTATGTACACAAAAGGCCTATTTCTCTCAAATCTGTCTAAATCTGTGTTAGTGAGCACTTCTCCTTTGCTGAGATAATCCATCCACCTCACAGGTGTGGCATATCAAGATGCTGATTAGACAGCATGATTATTGCACAGGTGTGCCTTAGGCTGGCCACAATAAAAGGCCACTCTAAACTGTGCAGTTTTAATGTATTGGGGGGTCCAGGGGGGTCCGAAAACCAGTCAGTATCTGGTGTGACCACCATTTGCCTCACGCAGTGCAACACATCTCAACAAAAGTGTTGCGTTTATAATTTTGTTCAGTGTAGATAAACTTTTAGCATATTATGCAAGTAGTTTGAGAGCGTTGTAAGATTGACTCTGTCACATCATTCACAGTGATTCGTTGCAGGCGCTAAAGAGTTATTTTGATGCGAATTGCTTGTTTTGATTCTCTGACTGGTGGAGATTTATTTGCAGAATCATGGGTAATGTCGTTTTTCTTACCAGGATTTGCACTGTTAAACACGATTTTTTTTTTAAATACATTGAAATAATGCTGGCTGATGGGTTCACAAAAGCATATACCATTGATTAACGTATCTCACGTTGCTCACAATAGGTCTGTTTGTTCTTAAAGATTTATTAGTTATTGTTAAAAAACTCTTTCCATTTGGGTAAAATTAATGTCTATACAAGTGCATTTGTGCTTTGGCTAACCAGAGTTCAAATCCTTGTGGTACTTTTAATGTTAACCAATAGACAAACAGCTGTTAGAGCTACTGTTGGAGGTAAAACAACCTTCTGAAATGCTGTCAGCAGTTTAATGCTAGTTAATGTAAAACTAGTCATAAATAACATTTTCAATTGACCTACAGTTTTTCCCTCAGTAAATGTCCTACATCACATTACGGAATATAAATGGCTTGCAAAAACGATTTGCTGTTGATGTTAACCACTGTCAAAAAGTCCTTATTTGCTATACAAATTAGCATTACTTTTCCTGTTTTTTTTATGCTGTGTTTTATTATGTGTTTTATGTTTTACAGATACACAGCTACGTCGGTGTAATTTACCATGCAAAAAACTGCAAATTTCCATTTTTATATATTCCATATAAACCCTTGCAGCTTCATTCTTCTTAACTAGTAAAATAATAATTACTTTCAATAGTTTTACATTCATTTTATTCAAAATCTATTCTCAGTAGTGTGTTCTTGACATTTTCAAGCTGCTTTGCTGTGCTAAATATTGACTACAGCATATTTTCGGTTCCAGCAGTGAACCCACGTAATGTCACAGAGATCTAAGCGTGAACATGAGGCTGAGAGTGCAGGTTTGCTGTCAGGTTCATCTGGATCTCACTGGTTTTTATATGGCATGGGAATGAATCAGCTAGGCTTCAATATAAAACTAAATATGAATAGGACTCAATCACTGAATGGATGGAGAAGTTTGAGCAGTGGCCTGGTAGTGCGAGTGCTCCGGCATGTGTTATTGTGGTATTTCTGCGGCTTGCATATATATTATTTCCTGTGTCTTCTGTCACTGTCCTTGTCAATAAAATGCTAAAAATTACTTAAGAAAAATTAAAAGTCATAAGCTGTCTGTATGCTAGTGTAGTCCTACAAGTTAAAATGTACAGTCTTTGTCTAAATATTGACGATTCATCTCACACTTAATCCAGTAAAATGGTCTACTCTCTGTTCCATGAGACACCACCTTATTTCTGATCTCTTTAAACGGCACAAGCTGCTATTTTGTTGACATTCTTTTTCAGTATCAAAGCTTGTGATCCATTTAATGTGTTTGTTTTAAAAAGTTGGGCAGTTCACATGTAACATGCGACTTTTTATTGTAAAACAATCTATCAACTTTGACAATTAAATGCGTACTTTTTACCGATGACCAAATGACTTAAAAATAAATATTTAAGTAAATTGTGAAATACTTAATTAAATTAATAAAACATAAAAATCATTCAATTGTGGAATTTTTTATTATTCATGCATTCATAAATGCATAATGTAAAGAGGTCCATGCAATATTGTTGCTAATGTTGCAATATTGTTCATAATGAAGTCCTGCAAAGTGACACAATCTATTTTTAAATTGGGATCCTTAACAAAGAGAAGCATGCAACTTTCAAGAACAAGATTTAAGAGAAGGGTAAGTTTCACCACTTATTAAAATAAAGATGTAAAACTGTCATTAAAAACTGTCAAAATAGATTAAAAGGTCAAGTTAGACATTTTATTTATTTGATTTCCCAAAAGATAATAGTGGCACAGAAATGACATACTTCACCTTTAAATAGTCTGTGGAATCTACTAAATGTATATCATTGTAAATTTCTGTTAAAAAAGCTGTTTTTCAGTCAGTTAGTCTAAAACATGAGCAAGTAGAGTAAGAATAAAGAGACACAGAGAGAGAATTAACATAGCTCAACAGAGGGAGGAAATTCTGAGAAAGAGATGAAAAAGATGGTGATGATGCATATAGAGTTAGTTCATAGGGCCTTGACACTTGAAATTAACTTATTAAAATATCATAGGTCATCTTATGTAATAAAGGAAAGGACATGACGTGTGGCCAAGTATGGTGTCCCATACTCAGAATCTGTGCTCTGCATTTCACCCATCCAAGTACACACACACACACACACACACACAGTAGTGAGTAGTGAACAAATACACACACACCGTGAACACACACCCGGAGCAGTGGGCAAAGCAAAGAACTTTTTTTTTTACTTTGTTCATGGAAAAAAAAAAAAAATCAGTCATGGTTTCCACAAAAATAGAAAGCAGCACAACTGATTTCAACATAATGATAATAATGAGAAATGTTTCTTGAACACCAAAAAAACAAAGGTGAAGATGAAAAAGTGTAGCTGTAATTTCTTAGCCAGAGGCCATTGTACAAAAAGAAAGAAGTTGGAGAAAGAAAAGCATGTATTTATCTGAGGATCATTTACATGTATGTGAAATAATGTGCTAACATTTTGCCAATCTCTTTGACTTTTAAGGCCTGCGTGTTCTGAATAGGTGGCCAGAGGATCCTCTCTATTGCTCACCCACGCTTGCAAACACAATTTTCACTCATTCCATGTTTGTTGCCAGCTCTAATTTTGTTTTGCTAATTATTTGACATAAATCGAAGTTTAATGTAAATGTAACTGGTACATTTCACAATTATATGTATAAAACAGCCAGTTTCAGTTTGCATTTAAATGTTTTTAACATTTAATCTTGGGATGTTTATATTATTTTATTTCAGTTGTCTTGACAACTGAATGAGTTTCTCCTCTTTTTGTGAATGTAGCATACCTTGAATTACTATTCTGTATGAAATGTTTTGTAAATAAATATGGCTTGTAAGAAAATTAAAGTCTGCATTTTTCTGCATGAGAATGTCAATTTCATGCTGCAGTCACAATGAAAGAAGTTTGTGTTATGTGTCAACTGCCCATTTGTTCCTTAAATTTCATTTGCTTTTTCCAGTATGTTGATACCAAAAATGTCACTCCTCCCATGTGTTTTGAATTCTAGAAAGTCAGCACTCTGTTAGCAGATCTGGCCAGATGGACCAGTCATCAGGTAAGAAACCAAATACCAAAATTTTACTTCAGTTTACTCCACTTGGAACTCCATTGGTGTTTCTATTAGTCAGTTTTTATTAGTATCATCTCACATGGTGGTGTATTAAACCATCTTTGTTTTTTCTATATCCTTTAGAGCTTGAAGTCAAAACATCTGCTGATCAGGGTGAGAGCAGCGGTGGTCAGCCAGTGGATGATGAGCTCGATGGACTTCCAGTCTTTGGAACAGATGAAGATGATTGGGAAATAGACAGTAGTTTTGCTCAGAAGGCTTTGGAACAGATGGAAAAGATTTGCGATGATAAAAATGAAAGTCAAGATGGGTTGCCAGCTAGTGGTGCAGATGCAGGTGAGTTTGAAAATGAATTTACTAAGCAAACTGTCATAGGCTAAAAGGTTTCTGCAGTGATATTGGGTCTGATTGACTAAGTGTGTGTAGACAAATTTGTGCATGAAAATGTATTTGCAAAAAAAATTTAGGAACAACTGAAACCATACATATTGGGTCTGGATAAATATTTATTAACCTTAAAATGGGGTTAAGAACAATTTTTTAACAAACCAAATTTACATGCATATACATGTGTTGTGAATTAGACAGATTTTTTTGTGACAAGTTCAGCTGTGCATATAAATACAAAGAATGCCATTGTTAGTGAATGAGACCCATTGTTATAATTATGCAGTAAAGCATTATTTGGTTTTAAAGGAAATTGTTCTTTAATGTGAGGTAGCTGTAAATCAGAATCTAGTTGACATTTTCTGGACTCTTTTAAAATTGGGATCCTTTTTGACTACAGAAGAGAACAGCTCCTCTATCAATGGATCTTTAGAGATGGATGAGGAGAGAATGAAGATTTCTGAAGACACCCCCGTGACCCCTTCATCAGACACTATTATAGGTAAAACAACATGAAATTATTCTAAATACAATTTATTTCCGTAGTTCTGCTGATTTATTTCCCCTGAATAATTTACTCTGGTATAAGTTCACTGGTTTTATGATGAGCTGGATGCCATGTTAAGAGAATTTCAAAATGCTACTTTTGTCCTCCTGTGTCAGATATCCAAGACGTACAGTCTGAACTTAGGATTGTGTCATCGCGAAGTGATGCTATTGTAAGTATAGGTGAAAAAAAAAACAGTGACAAGGTGTTAATAGAAATGTGCACTCAGTGGCCACTTTATTAGTTCTAAAATATTGACCCACTTTTGCTCCCATAACATTTTAAAGGAATAGTTAACCCCCAAAAAATGAAAATCTGCTGAAAATGTATTCACCATCATGCCATCCAAGATGTAGATGAGTTTGTTTTTTCTTAGGAACAGATTTGGAGAAATTTAGCATTACATCACTTGCTCACCAGTGGATCCTCTGCAGTGAATGGGTGCCGTCAAAATGAGAGTCCAAACAGCTGATTAAAACATCACAATAATCCACAAGTAATCTTAATGTCTTGTGAAGTGAAAAGCTGCATGTGTGTAAGAAACTTATATATCAGTAAGACTTTTTTCATTTCAACCCATTGTTTCCGGCAAAAATATGAGTCCATAATATCACTTTTTCCAGTGAAAAAGTCATCTCACCTGAATCAGGAGAGAAATATTCACAGATCAAGCACCATTTACACATTTAAACAGTTCTAAACAAATATGTTGGTTTTTAAAGTTAAAAAGCCTTCGTGACTGATCAGTCAGGATTTAGCTTTAAAACACATTAATTGATGGACTGGAGTCGTGTTTATTATTGTGATGTTTTTATCTGCTGCTTGGACTCTCATTCTGACGGCACCCATTCACTACAGAGGATCCATTGGTGAGTGAATGATGTAATGCTAAACTATAATCTTGGATGGCCAGAGAGCGGAGTAAATTTCAAGCAAATTTTCAATTTTGGGTGAACTATTCCTTTAAATTATGCACAGCAGGGTGCTGAAGGACATTTGCATTAACAAGCATATGTACAGGTGGACTCAATGAAGTGGCCGCTGAGTGTATGAGGTTGAAGGAGAAGGATTGTTTTAGTCCTATTTCACAATTTTGGCTGCTTGATAGTGTTGTTGTTCCAGTGTTAAATAGGACTGTGATGTTTAATAATAGTGTTTTTTGCAGACGGAGCCTGCTTCTGAAAACACAGACAGACAAACAAGTTACTCACCTGTAATACAAATTAAGGATGAGCCTATTGATGAAGAATATGATAAAGCATTAATGCCATCCGACATGAGCCGTATTAAACAGGAGCTTGACGGTTCTGAAAATAATGAGAATGAGGTAAGATTTGGTCTTGTTCTGTGTTGTTCAATCTGTTGTGAAAACATTTATTATTACATATGTAATAAATGACTTTTGAATAATTTCAGGCCTCCTCTGCATCAGATGAACTGAGGATTAGCTCGGTTTTCTCTGTTAGTGGAAACAGCAGTGATGCAGTTTCTGGTGAGTGCATAAAGATTTCGCTTTCATCACATCACTGTTTATCATCAGCTTTACTGTTACCCTCCGTAATAACTGTGACACAAGGTCTGGGTGATATATCAGTAATTTTCAGCTTTTTGATGACGGTCGATAAATAAAGCAAATGTTTAATGAAACAACTTTCAAGAAACAAGTAAAACATAAAAAAAAAATAAAGTCATGTAATAATCAATAATATATACCTATACTGTAAAAAAAAAAAAAAAAAACTTTTATTCAGCAAGGATGTATTAAAGGGGTGGTTCATTGCGATTTCACTTTTTTAACGTTAGTTAGTGTCTAATGTTGCTGTTTGAGCATAAACAATATCTGCAAAGTTACAAAGCTGAAAGTTCAATGCAAACAGAGATATCGTCTTTTAAAATTCAGGCAGTTTAATGCCTACAAAAACGGCTGGTAGGGACTACAACGAGTTACTTCCCGGGTTCGTGACATCACAGACCCAGATAAACCCCGCCCTCGGGAAAAGGCAGCAAAGGGGGCGAGGCCATGCTGCGCTGCTTAGAGAAGAGGAAGAGAAAACTAGGGGTGCATGTAAAAATCTATTCATATATGAATCACGATTCTGTCTTCTAACGATTCTAATGGATTCACAAGTTTCAAAAACAATGTTTAAAACAGCGGTTCTTAATACCGTTCCTCGCGTTGCCCCTGCTCTTCACATGCTCTGCATCTCTCTCTCTCTTTCTCTCTCTCTCTCTCTCTCTCAAAACCCAGTGAACCACCCCTTTAAATTGATCAAAAGTGACAGTGAAGGTATTCGTGATGTTACAAAATTTGATTTCTATTACAAATAAATGCTGTTCATTTAAACTTTCTATTCATCAAAGAATCCTGAAAAGTATCATGGTTCTCCACAAAAACCACGTTTTCGCTGAAAAGCAGTTTTCAGCCGTGATAAGAAATGTTACTTGAGGGATCATGTGAAACTGAAGACTGGTTATTGAAAATTACATATAATTCATTAAATATAGCATACAGTTAAAATTGTAACAATATTTCACAATATTACTGTTTTTACTACATTTTTGATCAATTAAATGCAGCTTTAGGAATTAAGAGACAAACAAGAAACAACAATCTCATATTTAAAAAAATATTTAAAAAACACTCAAATTTTTCCAAAAATAGTGCGCGTATTCTTTCTAAAACATTTCAGTTCATAAAAATTTGTTTTGAATCAGTTTTTTGAAACTGGCCCTTTGAACTGATTCACAGCAATGAATCAAACTTAACTGTTGTTATTTCACACAGCATCTATGGCACCCTCCCATGCATCGTCATTCTCAGTGATGTCCCAGAACACTGCCTCACTCAGAGGAACCACTATACTTCTGCCAGCCCAAACCCAAACTCAGCTTCAGCTCCGGCTGCAGCCCAGAACCCAGATGCATTCTCAAATCCAGACTCACCCCCGAATGCAGCCGCCGATGATGCCACAAACACACCTACAACTTTCTGCCCAGCCACCCCAGGTCCATGCTCCTCCACCCACAGTGAGGATCTGCTGCTCGGGCTGTTCTAAAATCCTCCAGAAGGGTCAAACAGCATTCCAGCGAAAAGGCTCCAACCAGCTGTTTTGCTCCACCGTGTGTCTAACTAGTTTCAGTTTACCCTCAGTTCAGTTTACCCCCATCATTGCCCCTAAGAAGACCTGCAACCTCTGCCTTAAGTGAGTTCTGATTGTTTATATACTTTGTTGTTTACTTTATAATAAATCCATCTTAATTGTATAGATAACTGAAAAAATGTGTTAAAGGAATAGTTTACCCCTAAATTGTTATTTATTTACTCACCCTCATGTTGTTCCGAACACAAAAGATCTAAGTTCATCAAAAAATCTAAGTTGCTCTTTTCCATATAATGAAAACATATAGGGCCAGATTTACTAAACAGGACAAATGAAATGCATCTCCAAATTCCATAAAAGCGCCAATGTGAGTGGAAAGTTCTGCAGGTGACCTTCTGACAATGTGCAAATTAATAAACACAGCCAGCTCATTTTCATGACCAACGTGAACTACCAAAAGCAGGACATTAAACAATGGCATAAATACCAGTAAACTGACTACTGCAAACTTTAGTAAATCACATTGCATGATTTATGTAAATGCTCTCCTCCAAATTAATTTTGCATCTGAAAGGGAAACTCTTACAAATGCATATGCAATAAGGTCAGCCGCAACAATTTCTGCATCCAAGCCTTTTTCACTGCGTGTTTTTAGTAAATCCTGACAGTGGTTTTTAATGCCATAAGAGAGTTTGCAATGAGGTAAGCTGTTAGTAAATATTACCCATAGTGATCCATAGTCATTTTGGAGGTTATATGGAATACAACAGCTGAGAAAATCTAAACAATTGCTATTATGTTCCAAGGAAGAAAAATGTAAATTTGGAATGACAAAATGGTGAATAAATAGTTTGAAAAGCTACCTTTAAAAATGTGTAAATCAATTATGTAACCTTGATAATGGTTCAGATATTTGCATAATTTAATACAGTTATACAAATCGTATGTGATCATTTTTTAATATCTTTATTGTTTCAAAGGGTCATTGTCAATCTGAAGGACTTGATAACCATCCCAGTGGGCTCTATGAACACACTAAAGGAGTTCTGCAGCCTAGCTTGTCTAAATATTTATAAAGACAGATATGAAGATGCACCTCCAGATCTATATACACAATGCGGCGTGTGTAAATTGGTCAAAGAGGTAAGGCTTAAATGATACACGTGATGTAAATTTAGACGAAATAAACATTTTGTTGCTTTGCTTTTTGCATAATTTTTTACTCCCTTATGAGTTTAATTGTTTTTGATAAATGCAGATTGTGAAGTAGGTTATTTGTAAGAACAGTGTGATGAAGTGCATTTGGTTTTCCAAATAAATAGTACAAGATGTCATGTTCACAAACAACTAGAACAGACATGGGTGAATTACGGCCCTCAACATGGTGTAATCCTGCTCGAGGGGGCAATTATCTTGAAAACATCTTCAAGATAAAATCTTGCATTATGAGCTAATTTGATAATAAAGTTTAAATTTACCACATTAGCAATCATAAATGTACTGAGTATGTTCATTTTGAAAAATAATATCACCAGGGAAGTGTAAATAAACCATAGAAGCTAAAATAAGCCATATATAATTGTCCTCAGACTTTAAAGTGACATGCTATCTTAAAAACGCAACACTTATGATGCGCAATGCTGAAAACTGTCACACAGTTGTTGTGTAAACATCTCTTCAGCCCACTGCAAGGTCATAGAACATCAATGTAACTTGGATTCCATTCGGTTAAATGCTGTGTTTAAGACATGCACTGTTTTTCTTTGCTTTACAGATTCAGCATGAAGTGACTCATCTGGGTGCCGTGCACAAGCTGTGCAGCGATGAATGCTTTGCACGCTTCAGATCTTCCAGAAACCTCTACATGAGCTACTGTGAGAACTGTGGCAACTGTACAGCCTCAGGAAACTATCACCTGGTTCAGATAGAAGATAGTATTAAAAAGTTCTGCTGCACCGAATGCATCGCCAATTATAAACAGGTACCCCACCGTTACACGAATGAACTTGCTGTTCTCTGCTCAAACTGTGTTTGTTATTCATGGTCTGATTCATCCATTTTTACATCCTGTGGGATATGTAGATTTGAATTTGACTTGTCTCCCGATCCCATTTCCTCTCTGCTATAACTTTGCAGTCAATAAAAGTGAAAAGCCCAAACATGTTTTAAAAACAAAATAATTTTGTGGATTTAAAGCTGTTGTCTTTCTCACTGTGTTGCAGAAAAGTGGCAAGAGACTTCACTGTCCCTACTGCCAAGATATAAAAAATATTGAACAAATGATGGAAGGGACAAACATACAGGGTGTCACAGAATTCTTCTGCTCTCAAAGATGTGTGGCCCTGAGTCAAGCATCTCCCAGTCTGACAGGTAAATTTTGTGTGGTAACAGACCATGACAAATATCCTCCTCTGTGTGTCCAGGTCACATTTCACCCCAAAATCAAGAGGAAAAAACACATTTAAAAATAAATAATAGATTTTTTTTGCTTTGATGACAATTAAGCATAATTTTACTGTAATATGAAAAAAGTCTTACTCCATGTTTTACTTCTACTTTTTTGTAATTTGCATTAGTGATTTTTTTAATCATTTAAAATTATTTTTAAACATTTTATTATTATTATTATTATTATCAGGCTTTGTTTTAGTAAATGAAAAAAATTATTTTACTAAAACAAAGCCTGTTGCGACTTTGAATTAAGCCAGACTTCAATTTTGAAACAAGTTTGAAATCGAATTTATTTTATAACTTATTTAAAAAAAAAAAAAAAAATTCTGAATAAGTTGTCTTCAACATCTTAAAAATACTTTGTTTTAATAAAACTATAAATTATTCAAAACTTATTTCAAAGTTAAATGAACTATTTTTAAAATAAAATTATTTGAAATTGCATTGTGTTCACTGTTCAATGTGTGACACACTTGAGATTTTGAGGTTTTATGAGATTCACCAAAAAAGTGTTTTCTTGTACTAATCTGTCTTGCTCTGCTCTTTAGGCACCTCTTTCCCATGCACAACTTGCAAGAAGGTAGCTGTTCCTCAGTATCACCTTGCCATTTCTGATGGGTCCATCAGGAACTTCTGCTCATTAGATTGTGTGGGCAAATTCCAGGTATTGCATTCTGTCTTTATTTCCAGTATTTTTTTTACAAATGTTTTTATAAATGTGATGTGATGGACATTATTTCTATCCACAATTATATATATATATATATACGTAT